GCTCTTCTTTCACTAAACAGTCTCTCAGTCGTCTGTCAAGAAAAAAATAATCTGATGGTTATATAATTCTAAAATTATATTGGATAAAAACAAATGTAGAGAAAAACTTCTTTCATTTTATAACAGCTAATGAATAAAGTACACAAAGAAAAAAAAAAAAACGTTTGCAGTATTTACTGATGATTAGTAAGTGTATTAAACAACTGAGCCAAGTGCTTTTACTTAACTTATAGAAGTTTATGAATTGAAATCTTGAAAAATAATATTCATGTTCTTCTATAAAATCTTTTACACCTACAACATTAGGTAATGCATTCTAAAAATGTTTGTAAATTTTGAATGTTTTTTAAACAGTGTACTTCTAGCAATAATAACCTCTCCACATATGTTCTTAGTTCTCTTCTTAGCCATCATACAGTTTAGACTACAACCATCTTCATACTCTTTCTTAATCATCTATTAAACAATTTAACTGTATTAGTCTAAAAACCAAACCTTGACTGTCCTTAAAATAGCCATTACAGAGGCTAGCAGAAATGCCATCCTACAGGTGGCTGTTTGTGCTAGTAATTACTAATCATAGTATTGGTATCTAATTGAAAAAAATTTAGAAAAAGAGAACATTTTATAAAAAAGGATTTTTTTCTGGGAAGTACTTCACAGAAAAAATGTTCAGATTGTGCTTTTTAGTCATATGCAACTCACTGCATCATAATGATTCAATGTACAGAGCTCAAAATTTTCATAAATTTTACTCATGTAAACTGTAATGTTTTTATATATTAAAAGTGGTACACTTTATTGAAAAAATAATAGTTTTTTTTAAGAACTCCAGTTTCTCAGTGCTACATTTAAAAATTACATCAATAAAGATATAATCAAACCCTCATGTACAGTCCTCATGAAAGTCGTGTTCTTGTTGTGACGAGAGTACTTTTATTTAAAATTGTGTTCTATTATAAAGAAATGGTTGTTGCACACACCACAGTTATTTTTCTAATTGTCTGGATCTTGAATATCTAAAGTGTGAAATTTTTTTATGGATTTTTGTTTGTGGTGCCATTCAATAGATGGTGCAGGCATCTTGGTAACATGCATAGATACTTGCATACACACTACATCCACTATAGTAAGATAGTATACACAAAAACTAACAATATTCACTATACAGCACATGTATATATATATATATATATACAATTATGTACAAGAGTATGCTTACTTTTCAAACATTCAATACTTTTATTAAGAAAATAACCATTCAGATAAAAGCGGCATCTGTAACTCAGGTTTTGTAAACAATATCAACTGTATTTAAACTGTTTGTTAAAGATGATGGCAACTGAAATTTGCATTTTTTGTTGATAATGATAGCAACTATCACATTAAACAAAGCTTTATGTTAATAATAGCAACAAACTGATTAAATACTGCTGATAAGAAATATCTTTATTATACTACACGCTAAATCTTATGCTAAACTTTACCTAAAAGACATATAGTGAACACATAAAACATAAAATTATGTCTAAATTCAGTTCATTTATCAGAGAAAAATATTTTCACTAATAATAATTCTAGTTATTCATGTTGAGTTTGTACCAAGTTTGTTTCCATATTTTGTTTATTCAGTTTTATTTTATTACTAGTTTTTTATTATTAATTTTTATGATTAACAATCAACATGTATTATGTAGAGTGCTTGTTAACATACTTGCAACAGTTTTACATAATCTCATCCATTTCAATTTAATGCCAAGCAAGTGTGCATTATACAAGTGACAGTTAGGCTCATTATTTGGTTCAAAGTTCTTGTGGCATCCAGTGTTACTGACAAAACCAGGGATAACTATACCTGAGTATTAAGAGTCTTACCTTGCTGTTTATCCTATGTAACAATGCCTGTTTTTAAGGGACAATCAAAAGAGGTTGCAGTGCTACATTTAATGAGTCACAAATTCCATGGCCAAAGTCACTTAGCTAATGACTTAAGCTTACTTATTAACAAAATACAAGTATAAAACTAAGAAGTTTAAATGCATAAAATATTTTTATTGTTTTTACATCATGACAAGACTTGTTATAAAATGTGAAGTGTCTAGCTTAATGGTGCCATTGGCTCCTTACAATTACTTCCCATAACAGTATTTTACATAATTGGTTGAGAGCAGCATATAAGTACATTTTAGCAACATAGTAGTCTCATTTCATACCAAAATAAACTACTGACTTTGGAAGTACAAGACAAATCAAACACTACAGGTTCTATTAAAAACTTCTAGTGTTTCAGTACAACTGCACACCTCATTGAGCAAGGATAATAATTGTAGATTCTACTATATAATATATTTAAACAGATAATATTTTACCTCACTGTATCATTGCTTGTTAAGTTTCCTGAAGGAATCAGGTGTTTACAGTTGGCAGTGACCAGTAATTTCAGCAAATCCAGTCTCTTAATATACGTGTCTATTTTATCTACCCGTTTTTTTCTTGCCATTTCTTTGCCATTGAAATCTTCTGCAACTGGTTCACTATTCAAAACATTTTCTTTTGTTTCCTCACTAGGAACTTCTGTTGTACTTTCAGTATTTGAAACTCCTGCTGGTCCCTCAGTACCAGATACTTCCAATGACTTGACTTTAGCACACAACAGTAGTGACTTCATCATACTAGTAAAAAAAAACACAACTCTGTAACTTTCCAGTGTTTTAAGATTGTTTTTGTAAACTCCTATCAAAATAGAAAGAGGTAAGAAGTTGAAGCTTTGCACAGATCTCTGTTACTGGTAAATATATAAAACAAAAGCTATGGCCAGTGATTGCAGGTAAAGCTGCCCTAGAGAAACATCTTAAGATGTTGTCAATAAGTGATAGCCTATAAATTAGTGACTTAGGAATGAGTGAGTAATTTAAAAGATATAACTGTCCTATAAATGAAACAAACACTAGTAACCATTACGTTTTGTAAATAAAACGAGATTCTAAATAAATAATTTGAAGTGTAACATACGAAATGTATGCACCATTACAAAGACATGTGGTCAGAATATGCAAAAATAAATAATGTAATGACATAATTAAATTGGTATTTTATTTCACAATGGTTCTAAATGTTTACATTAAAAAAAAAAATCTGTACCATGATTTATTGAAATGGTGTAGTTCCTAACTGGCTATAGAATTCTGGTATAGAAATCTATGTCTTCAGTCAGCAGCAGAGCAAGTTTCTACAAGTAATTTTGTTTTACAGTTTGAAATGATTAAACAGCAAAAAAGAACAAATGTGGTATTCAGATGATTGTTAATTAAGCATACATCTTCTAATTGGGATAGAGTACTAAAAAGAGAGGAGGGTTGGCTCTATATGTAAAGTTTGGATTTCTGTTCATGATTATAAGAGGAGAAGGCCTTTAGCTGGAATTTGTTACAGACCACCAGATGAAACTGATGAAATTAATAATAAACTTTACAGTAAGATGAAGAGTTCAGCTGTTGATGATGTCATAATTATGAGGGATTTTAATTTCAGGTGTATAGATTAGGGAAAATTGGGAAATGTTAAATCAGACCATAAAAGAGGCAGGTTTTTAAAAAACATTCCTGATTGTATTTGTCATTAACTGGACAGGGAACTTGCTAGGTACAATGATGTATCAGCTTTACTGTTAACTTTTATTATAGAAATGGATGAGAGGGATGGAGATTGGGGAATATCTGAATGCAAATGATCATTGCTCTATTAGGTTTGATGTTTTACTGTACATGGAGATCAAGAATAATGGATTTTTGTTACAAGTTTCAAAAAAGCCAATTTTGAAGGGATGCAACAACTTATCTGTTGTGAATTGGGCTACTGAATTAACTGGAGACACTGAACAAATTTGGAAAACATTTTAAGAATACATTATTAAATATTCAAGATAGGCATGTTCCTTATAGAAAAAAAGGATGTCTGCATGTAAAAAAACAGGTTGACTGACAATGGCTAAAATTAAAGAAAGGCATCATTAATTTAAGAAGTTTAAATTGACTGCTATGAGGAGAGACTTAGAGAATTATAGAAGATCAAGGAAGTTGGTTAAACAGGAAATTATAAATCAAAAAAGGATATATGAATAAATGATTGCTGAATACGTAAAAATCAACAGTACGAATGTTTTTACAGAAATTGAATGTAGAAAAATATTAGGATGGGAGAGAAGCCTTTGAGGAATGATAAAGAAAGGCTCATATCTGATGATCATGAGATGGCTGGGTTCTTAAATTCTACTGTTTCTTCAATTTTTAGTAATATTCCTCATCCTAAACATTTGTTAGATGGAAACAAAATCAAACAAGATTATCATATTAATATTTAACTTCTTCAGAAAAAATTGGAAGTTTAAAGTATGATAAGGCTCCAGGGTCAGATAATATTTACCCAAGGATTTTGAAGGAGGTTAAGGATTGGACATGTAGGCACTTGCTACTATTTTTTTATATATCCTTTGAATAGTGTGCAGTTGCCAGAGGAAATTGGTTAATGTTATTCCACTTTTTAAGAGAGGCAAGAAAAGTTGTACCTGGTAAATACAGGCCTATTAGCTTTACAGTAATAGTGGATAAAGGTTTTGAAACTTAAAGGATGGAGCTGCTCAACAAATCTGGTAGCTAACAATGTTCACTACTTCAAAACTTACATGACATTTAATGAGCCAACAGAAATTTACTTCAAGCAGAAAAAAGGGAGGATGAAGATGCTATGCATGAATTTGTGATAGAAAAAGGTATCTTGGATAAGAGAAAAACACAACTTTATTGTGTAGGTGAGAATGCACATAACTGTAAAATGGCAACCTGTAAAAAAGATTAAAGCAAAGCTTTGTTTTCTGGCCACAGAAAGGAAGATCAAACTTGGACAGTCAAACTCTGCAGAAACATCAGTTGCTTAAGTATTCAATGCACCAGTCTTAAGGTTTATTTTATTGCATTACAAAAAAAAATATTAGATGAAACTGTTTGAAACTTGAGATGAACATTTTACAGATTATACAACTTCTGTAAAATATATCTATATGCAATACTTGTATGAATTCTCAGCTTTACAAATACAAAACGATTTCTCAGTGAAATGTTTTATAAGAGAAAATTAAAAATGCTTACTGATTTGTATGTCTTCCTACATTCTTTTAAAGCTTTATAATAATCTTATTTTACAAAAAAATTACATTTTTTCTTTGTTTTGATTGGAAAACATGCATGCAATTTCACTGTTTAAAATCATTGCCATATAATAAAACTAGCATTTCATCATAACACAATTATAAGCAAGCTGACTTCAATTGTTAACCAGATGGTTTAATTTATTCAATACGTTTTAAGTCTGCTTAAGATCTGCTGTATGCTACGTCTAGAGCTCAGACATCATGACAGGAGTAAGAAGCTCATCAAGTTACTAAATGACTTTGAAGCATTTAGAGAATATTGGATAGTTATTTTTCTACTTGCTTCTTCTATTTAAAACAAAATGATAATACAAGCTTTTCAGAAGATTAAAAAAAAACCTAGTAGTTGTGTGTGTGTGTGTGTATTTTTGTTATAGCAAAGCCACATTGGGCTATCTGCTGTTTCTCCCAAAGGGAATTGAAACCCCTGATTTTAGCATTGTAAATCTGAAGACTTACTGCCATCCCACTGGGATACCTGTAGTTGTGATGGAAGTTGTTCATAAGCATCTTTTCTTCTAGTAACAAATCACCAAGCTAACCTTTTATCACTTTGTAATGATGCCTAAGTGAGTCTCTACTGAACTGAAAGTCATATTGGTTTATACAGTTCAAAAGAATAGAAATAACAGCTTTCATTACATGTTTAGAGTGATCACCTATAACTTCTCAAGCTGAGATATACAGTCAGTTACATAATACCATGACAACTGAGGTTGAGAAACAGTAATTGCATAAAAATCATTAAAACTAGATTTGTATTAAAGTTTCAAGGCTCAAATTGCAACTATTTCATTCAAGTTATTTCAAATTTTCTCCTAAGGGCTATGAATGCTATAATATGTTTATAAAAATTCAAGAAGTTCACAAAGTTTCTTTTGAAACATGGTGAAATCAGCACAGTATCAAGATTAGCATTTTTTTTAGTTTTTATATAAAATTGAATAAATACAATTTTATTGCATAAATTTAATCTCTGAATTTTTTAAGAATGTAAAGAAGAGTGACTACAAGTTTTTTATTATTATTTAATGGTGCAATTTTGCTCATTGACAAAAGGTACACCATAAGGTTAACTCAATAAAACTCGCATGTACAAATTTGAAAAAACAAAAAAAACAGATACAGACAAGAAATCTACTGAGAAAAATTTCTAAACATGTGTTCAAGCAGCAGAAATGCTCCTGGTACAACTTTCTTGTCTGGATAATGCAGAATGAGAAACAAGAGGACTTCTTATTTCAAGCACAGTAGGCTCTGAATATTGCTTAGGATCTGCTGTATGCTACTTCTAGAGCTCAGACATCATGATAGGAGTAACAAGCTCATCAAGTTGCTAAATGGCTTTGAAGCATGCAGAGAATAGACATGAGCAGGAAGACAGTTGTGGTGCCTTCATGTCAAAACCCATTGTCCCAAGCTGCATTAATGCACACAGAACTTGACAACATAGATTTTTCTGAAGATACAGTATATGGTTCTACAACACTAAGATGCTGATCCATATATATATCAAGGCAAGACATAATACACAGAAGGATGTAAAGAAAGCACGTGCTGTCAAATGTCCCATAACAAGATATATTGCTATGTTACATAAAAAGCAGACAGATGTCTGGCTTTGATGAGGTCTCTACTAAAGAACATGTGCAGCATATTGGCAAGTCTACAGAAGCAGTCAAACCCCTTTCCCACAAAACAGCTAGAGACTGATACAGAAACAAAGAAATGTTCTTAACGTGGTAATGAGCATAAAAGATCTTCCATTCAACAAGCATTGGATAACTGCAACTTTTTGAGGCTCCTCACACTGAGCCTTCAGTAGTATATACAACATTTGTAACTTGCAAAATGTCAATACAATTTTAGTAAATGAGAATTTCATTGTTACATGTGACTCGCTCATCTGCAATACTGTGAAACGCATTTGTTGCTGAAATAAAAAATTAATAGCCTTGTAAAACCTGTTTCTTTCACATTGTATAAAAGTTCAAGATGTCATTAGCATGATGGTGACAGGTTTTAAGCTTTAGAGAATATTAACAAAGTCAAAAATATATATATAAAAAAATAATTTCCAAAATACATAAAGGGGAAAGCTACAATCAAGGAGTAGAGTACACAAGCTCCTTAAGGATGCCCTCTGGCAACAACTGTGAAAAGCTACTGAGGATTGTCAGGAACAGCAAAACTGCAATATAGCTCTACATTACAACATTGTTGAGGACCTGTAAAATCTGACTGTGACTATTCAGTTGGAGACACCAGCACAACAAGAGCCATTTATAACTCGATGGGTAGAGAAGCCATCAGTGGAAAATTGAATCATCCAAAGAAGAAGCTTGAAAGGTTCAGTTCCTGCAATTCTTTGACCAACTGTTGAATCCTATCAGGGCTGACAGAGATATAAAATGGGAATTGGCATTAGATTCAATTGCTAACATAATTCCATATACAATTGCCTAGGTACAACAACTACAATCAAGATCATCTTGAATAAAACACTTTCTATTTTGTTGAATCAATGGCTAGAAACTTTGAGATGAAGCAGAGAAAAGAAAATTTTAAATATATCCACAACTGACACTTGCCCAGTACATATTGTCAATTTTATAGAGGCCAGATTCTTTATAGTAGGCATCTGTGACTTGTTGGCGATAAATTCGGACAATAAACGGACAGCACGCAATCTAGTTGTTTTAAAATAATATATTCAAAACAAGTCATACATATGTACAAAAATTCTTTACACTGTAAAATATCACAATTTTCTCTAAAACTCTAAATAATTCTCTTTTATTGTCAAAAGTCCACACAGGCTGATTCAATTACTTTAGAATCCAACTGACAAGACAAATTATTTTTTCTCTACTCTGTTTCTTCCTATATAAATCTGCAATAAATTCACTTATGTTACCCTGTGGGTTACCACAATTATATCTTGAACTTTAAATAATTGCTTCCTCTTTGTCAAAGTCCACACAGGTGGGTTCAATCATTTTAGAACACCCTTTGACAAGACAAATTATTCTCCTTATCTCTATTAAACTATGAAACTCACTTTAAAATATCGCCCGTTACAGCTAATCACTCACACTTCAGCTAACTTTATGTTTCCTAACTTTTTTCTAGACTGAACTTTACTTTCACTTCACTTTACTTTTACTTGCACTCGTGAGCCACCTATATATATATATATATATATATATATACCTTGTCCACTGAGGCCTCGAATTTTTGATAAACTAAGCAAGTGATGCTATAATGTAATAATATTCAGTTAAGATAACGAGAACAACACTGAAGATTCGAGTAATGTGACATCAACATTATTAGAAAAGCCTAGAAAACAATGTAATTGCAAACACAACGTACAATTCGTACAGAGTTATGTAAAAAAATTTGTCACAACTAACACTTTTAAAATAATTACTTTAACTCTCTTGTTATGGAAACTAAACAATCATTAGATATTAAGTCACAAAACAAACTAAATATTAACACTTACACTAAACAGTCTTGTATATCAAACAAACAGAATGTTAACAGAGATGCCAGAGAATCAGTGACACAATGAAGATGCAAACAACTATTTTATATCATTAACCTGCTTTGTTACAGATAATTTACATTCTGTCAGAAGTGAAATTCAATTGCTCAATGTGGTCAAGGTCGTGCATATCATGATATATGTTCAACTGACTGTGATATTCAGAATTAGGTAAATTAATGTAGTTTAGCTCAAAAGAAAAACAAGGGTTAGTGAAAATTGTTACTAAGCCATAACATTAAGAAAGGACATGGGATTCTGACAAATTACTTCAAAGTTAATTCTGAGGAGAAGAAGAACTTGGTCAGCATTTAGAAGAAAAGTCAAAATAATTTAGATGAGTTCTTATGCCACTGTCAGTTATACATGATGAAGTCCCACAGTGTGGAAATGCACTTGGGTTAAATGCTGACATGAAATTACTCAATTCCCAAGATGGCTTTCAGAATTCTGGAAACATATCAGATTTAATGGCAGTATTAAGCATGAGATTGATATTAATGACTGGTCAGAGAAACTGCACCAAGATTTTACTTACCTTCCATTCACAAAGTTACAAATACTGACACCCCTTCACCAGATACTTGCCTGAAAACAAGCACTCTTACTAGGCATCAGACTGCCTCCAATACAAGAGTATGGATGACAGTTAGCAGGGAATGGTCAACTGAAGTCTTTCTTCTTGACATAGGCACACTATCTTCTTGATAATGTGATAAAGTCCTTATGTTACCATAAGAAGAGTATACAATTTTGAAGGTGCGTATGCAAGAGAGCTATAAATAACCTGTCTCTGTGAAGGGAAACTAGACAGGTCAATCACAGGACTATCACAATTAGAATAATATGCAAGTTGAATTAAGTTTATAATGCTCCTAAGACAGATTTTATTTACATAATGGTCACTAAAAATTAGTGGGATACTAGAACTGTATGAGATTAAAACTGCAAAGGGCCTAACTGTACTTCAATCTTAAAAATTAAAGTTTTACAGTATTTGACTAATCCTAATTTTTACTGATTTTGAAATGCACATAAAAACATTGTTTGTTTCATGATTTTTGGTTAAAAGATACTGCATTACACATTATTTACAAAATAATTGTACTAAATAAAATGGTTCTTATTTTATTTATGTGTCTACCATTTCTTCTTAAATACACTGCTTTGAGAAGTGTTTCAATTGAAAATCAAATATTTTCAAACAATCCTGAAAATAACAAGTTTCAGTGATATCATTAAATGTCATACAAAGTGTACATATTACAAATATGACTGAAACATTTGATAACTTTACAACAGTTATTAGATTAATAAAATGATTCTTTAAGCCACTTCCTCATAATTTATTACAATAGATTTACATATTAAAATATTAACATTAAAGCTACATTCTACAATCATTTTACATGAATAATAAACCTCTACTCATTTTGCATGATTGTACAATTGTTAAAAATTTTGTGAAAAGGTACCTTATAACTAAACCGTAATCTACTTCAGAATTTGCCTGTCTAGATGGTTTTGGTTTTAACTTTCCAAACAGATCATCACAGAGATCCAGCATGTAATCAGCACATCTGTCAGGGTTGAGGTGTAGTTTTAACACTGAGAGACAAAGTGGAAGATTGGGAGCCTATGTCAAAAAATATATTTACAAATGAAAAATTTTATAATCTGTTGTTAAAAATATAGAAAAAAAAAAAAACTAACTAAAAACAGGGAACTAAGAAAAGCTTTTGAAACTTTATTCTGTGTATTTGAGAGAAAACCTTAATGAAAAATTAAGTGTTTAAAATTACATTAGTATCTACATTTGAAACTAACTTGAAAAATACAGCTCATTAACAGAAAGTCACATAAAATAAAGATGTAACACTTTAAGGAAGAAAAACTTCTTAGTTATTAACAAAAATATACCTGTTCAAAAAAGAATTCCCTTCTTGTGGTAGAATTCTGAGACTCATCTTTATCTAAAATCCAAGGAGCAAGTCGCAAGCTTTTCACAGTCCCAGATCTTGATCTGTCATTTAGCCCTATCTTTCCAGAGACACTTGACATAAATCTTGGACTAGATGATGTAACTGTATGATTAATAAAACACTTCATCATGATCACTTCAAGTGAATTTAGATATCACACAGTTTATTATACCAGAAGCAAAAAAAAAAAAACTACAAGTACTCCACCATCAAAACAGTATTAGAATGGTAAAAAGTAAGTAACAAAAACAAGTCTGTTAATGAAAAATAATATTAACTAGCCACACTAGTTGTTCAAATTTTTTATTATGATTTTCTTTTCTCTCTTAACTGTAACTTATCATATCCACTATTCTTTACATGCCTCATAAAAACAAAGTTCCATTGTATTCAGTAGATTTATACTTCAAATATTTTTCCTCAACAATACTAGTTGAATATTAAAGCTAATAATGGCAAAGAAACTTTTTTCTTGAAATATTGGGATAAAAAAAGAAGGAATTTCTAAAGATAATTTAGTAAACTATTTTCCTGGCTATTGTCTGATACTAGAAACTATGCTACAGCTATTTTCCATGGCAGAATATCATTGTATGAGTATTTAAATTCTTAACAATGCCAGTGAACACTTTTGAATTAGATGTTACACAACTCTTACAGACAGAAATGATTCTACCTGTACTAAATCATTTCATACAGAAAAAGGTGCTATGAAAGAAATTTAATTAAATGATTAACCCTTTTACAACAGACTCATGTATTTTACATGACCTTGTAACCAGGAAGGTATACATATTATAACTCTGAAAATACTTAATGTATCTTCACAAATTTTGGCTAATGTTCAGTAAAAATTACACATCTTTTCAGACAAAAAATCTGAATTATTCATCAAATAGCCTTACTAAAGATGGAGTCAAAGTGTTGATTGCTGCGAGTGCAAAGTGATTTTCATGTTAAGATTAAAAATACTTTTCTTGATCTGAAAATTTTCAAAGTTAATTTGTGTAAATATCAAACATTTTGTTTTTCAGAAAACTTTTTATTTTATCTGTTATTTTCTCTACCATAACTATATACAGGTTCAATCAATTTGACCAACCTTGTAACCACCATAAAAAATCTATACTTATAACATTAAAAAATTTGTTTGTTTGCCCACAAACTACTCAGTGACCATCAGACCAATCTCAACCAAACATGGTAGGATGATATACTGGACAAAGGGGCATGTCATAGGAAGGCTATTACCCAGTCCAACAGCAAAAATATGTTTGTTTAGTCAATGACTCCACATATGTTTGTTTAGTCAATGACTCCACAGTCTTGGGCCAATTTTCATTCCTAAAATTTTATATTTTGAGTTTTTTCTTAAAACTTTGTTTAGAGTTTTTCTAAGAAAATTTTGAGTTCTTTCATTAAAAAATGTCAATCAAATATTCACATTTTTGCCAATAAAAATGGCAACCAAAGGACAAGGTCAGAACCTTAAAGTGGCAGGACTACAACTGAAAACCCTTTGCTTTTCATATGGTCAATTCTATGTTGGATCACCAAGAAATCTCTATTTTGGCTCAGGAAGGAGTAAAAAATTCTAGTGGTCTATCAAGAAACACTTAGAATATGAACAAACACTGAGGCTGTAGAGAGGGATTAGTGAAAGTAATAATGTAAAGTAAAATAATTGTAACACTATTTCTGTAATGTGGAATAAAGTAAGTAGGAAATAAAGTAGTTGTAAAGTAAATCATGTGTGAAACAATTTATGCATATACATACAAATTCTTGATTTAATTTATTAGTTTAAGCCCTACATTCAGTCCTTATGCCCCTGGATGTAGGATGGATGCCTCAGTTTGTTAGAATATAAATCTAAATTACCTATTTTTCTTTCAAGAATGACTGCAAATTTTAACAAGAAACCACAACTGTTTATCCTAAATAGCTTAAAGTTCATATCAGTATACATCTATTTATACTTAATTTTTGATTGACCTTTAAACCATGTCTAACTAAGAATCCCACCACACACCTAAACAGGAATGGTGATTCATTGCTTCATATTCAGCAAGTTTCTACTTCAGCTGCTAACAGTAGAATAACAATAGGAAATAGGTGTAAAAAGATTAGAAGATTAGGAGATTTACTTGGAACTTTACTGTCCGTACTGAAAAAGAACAGTACTATTCATTTTGTTTCTTCTAATTTCTAACTCATCTACTCACAAAACTACAGAAAATAAGTTTGAAAAGGTGAGAGTGCAAACTCTGACCATAAATAATTTGAAATTTTGTAATCACTAGAAACAATACTATACATTTTATTTTGTAACCTATATTTTTGTTATACTTTGATTACTTACCTACAACCTGGAGAAATAAGTATAATGTTAAAGTATAAAAAATAACAAATAAAATATAAAGCTTTACTGAAAATAAAAATGTTTGATATTTAATTACAAAGTTTTTATTTTTTCCTTTGTTTTAACTGTTTATTATTATAAAAGTAACTAAGTCACAAAAGTAGAAAGTTGTTAGGTAAGATAATGAAAGAAAAATAATAAACATTCATGGGGAAAATATGCCAGAACCTTCTGGTCGATAGGGTCATGTTAATGCATATGCGCCATGTAATATTCAACTTCTGTTGGGGTATTTTTAGTCAGACACAGTTCAAAGGTCAATAGAATAAAAATTAATAAATATAAATAAATTTAAACTGCTAAGAGATTCAAGCTATTTAGAATAAACATTTGTAGTTTCCTATTACAATCTGCAGTTATTCTAGAACAAAAAGGTAATTTAGATTTATTTCCTAATTTTTATGATGGTTACAAGGTCAGTCAAATTTATCAATACCGTATAGAATTGATATTGATAAAATAAGAGATTAAATATAAAGTTATATTAACAAAAATGTTTGATGATTATCTAGAAGGATATAGAGATTACACAAATGAAACTTGACAAATTTCAGATAAAGAAAAGTATTTATAATCTTAAAATCAAAATTACTTAGCACGTTGGATAGTCAACATTCTGAAAGAAAAAAAATCATGATGAAATCCTTGTGATGTTTACTAATAATTTGCAAAATTTTGTAAAGACTTGTGTACATTTTCAAAAAGTATAGTACAATTACTCTCATAGATACTTTCCAGGTTACGGGCTGGGTGGATTTATTAACTACATTTTGCTGCCAAGTTTATTCCTGTACATTGATAATAAAGAAGTTTAATTAAATTTTTAATGTAAATCTGTAAAAGGTTGTGACATGTCCACTTTGACCTACTGTTGTGAAAGGTTAAAATAAATGTTGTTAAATGTACCTGTACCTGATCATGGCAAGTTAATTTATCACATGCTGGAATTATTTTACCTGAACAACTTGGATAATAAATCAGCCATTTTGGTTACAACTTGCTGTTATTTGTTACTGAGTTTATACGAGGTAAAGTTTCATACAAAATATTTAATTTTTACCTTCCTAAAATAAGATTTTTAAAAATTAAAATTTCAATAAATAAAAGTATGCCAAGTATTTCTCTAATTAAGAAGCACATATAAAAAAAGTCCCAAATTATAGACAGTCTATAAAATAATTCAGTAGTATGCTTACCAGATGACTGAAAATGCCACTGCTTTTCGAGAGAAGAAGAACCAGCATCTGATGTTAATCTGAATGCAGTTTAAAAGCATATTAGTTAAAGTTAACTGCAGCCCAACCAGTAGTTGTACAGCCATCTTGTAGTAGTCATATAAAAGTTAACAGTACAAGAAGGACAATGAGCCTAATATTTCAGGTTGTGATAATGCTTTAGCTAAAAACTGTGATAAAAAACTGTATCATAGGCAACACAACAGTACAAATATTTTAAACTAAACACTATACAATTTTCTATAAAAAAAAAAAAACCCACAAATAACACAACTTATATTTTAATGATAATATAGTACTATTATGAATCAAAATTAATAATGCTGCATGCATTTTAATTACTTCCCCAAAATTAAATAAAATTGGTAGGGTGGCATCTAGCTCTTTACTAAAGTTTTCCCAATTATCTAAAATTGACAAAGAAAATGTCACACTGTATATTATACATGTGTTCCACTACGAAAAGAACAATGAGGTCTATATTCATCCTTTATAGTGAGATAGTTTGTTTGTTTGAATTTCGTGCAAAGGTACACAAGGGCTATCTGCGCTAGCCATCCCTAATTTAGCAGTGTAAGACTAGAGGGAAGGCAGCTAGTCATCACCACCCACCGCCAACTCTTGGGCTACTCTTTTATCAGCAAATAGTGGGATTGACCATCACATTATAACACCCACACAGCTGAAAGGGCGAGCATGTTTGGTGGGATGGGGATTCGAACCCAAGACCCTCAGATTGCGAGTCAAGCATCCCAAACCACCTGGCCATGCCGGGCATATAGTGAGATAGATTGGAATCATTTGATAAACTAGTTTTCTTTCTGCAAAAGCTTAGATTTGTAGAATAAAACAAAATTATGTAAATGAGATCACAGACTGATATTTTTCACAAGAAAAAATATTTCCTTTGAATTTCATACACAAATCCTCCAATTTCACATAAAAATGTGAATGTTATAATATTTAAGACAGTTCTTCAACAACAAAACTTCACAATGCAATTTAAAAATATAAAAAGTAGAAATACAAAAAAATTATCTGCAAGATTATCCTTTTTTTTGTGTAAAAGTCAATAAAGTATCTTTACTTTAAGTAAAAGATATATACTAACCCTGGACAGAGAGTTTGTTGATAGCAATCTTCGCAGACTTTAACTGAATTTCCTCCATACCCTTCTACTAGTAATTTATACTTGGAGCAGTCTGCACACACAACTCGTCCACAGCGTCGACAATGATGACGTCGATTTATCTATAAAAATACATTAACAGAATGATAAAATAAGGTTGAAAGTTAAAATCTGCAATATATATATATATATCTCAAATACAAATTTACAAAATTAATCATAAATTGAAGCATCAATATTTTAACATTGATATACCAAATATATAAAATATTTAAGTTTGGATAAAACAAATCATTAAATTGCATTATTTTAATATAAAATTTTGGAAAACAAAATTTCCAAATAGAAATTATAACAAAATAATTTTTAAAATTTTTGACTTGCATGCATTTTAGATATTACAAGGAAGACAGACAAACTTACAGTTACAACAAGTACACAGCGTGGTCACAAGTAAATAGACACCACCTTTTTAGAAAAAATTAAATTTTTCAGTCATATTCACATGAATTGATATATTTATAATTTAATTAATATCTAGTAGATCTTCCTTTCACTTCGTGGAGTTCGTTGATCCTTTGGGGCATCGTGAGAATCATCTCGTCAATTTTGGATTGTGGGATTTTCGCCCACTATTGCTTCAAAACTTGGAGTAAATCGCTTTTCGAAGTTGGTTTTTTTTTGTTTCTTGACTTGCTGGTCGAGTATAGCCCAGAGGTTTTCGATGGGGTTCATGTCAGGAGATTGGCTCCGGCAGGGCAACTTGTGGACACCATTTTCTTCCTGCCACTTTTGGGTGTTTCTAGCAGTGTGACACGGTGCTTCATCTTCCTGGAATAACGTTGTGTTCTTGTCCACGAAACCCGAGGAATAAAGTGGCAAGAGTTGTTCCTCTAATATTTCTACGTATTTTGCAAAATTTATGTTGCCAATGCACTCCACTAAGCTTGATCTCCCACCAACCCAAACAGCTCCCCAAACCATCACGCTGAAACCACCATGCTTCACAGTTGGCTGCAATCTGTTGAGCCAAAACTCTTGGTGAGGCATTCTCCAGACCCATATCCTTCCACTGTCCGATAATTGAGCAAATCTTGTTATTACAATACGGTCTTCCAAAAGTACAGAGGCTTGGTCATCATATCACTTGCCCACTTCTTTCGTCTGACTATGTTGGCAGGTCTTAATAAGGGCTTCCACTAGCTGCTCTGCAACGACAACCCAATCTGTGGAGAATCCGTTGAACAGATTTGCGGGCTCATCCCACCAACTTTGGCCACTTCTGCAGTCATTAATCTGGGATCCATTTCGATGCTCCTCTTGACAGCCCTTTTTGTCCTCTCCGATGGACCAGGACGACCCAGACGCTGCTCAGTTGTTTCCTTGTCATGTTTCCTAAACTGCACGATGATTCTTTTTACTGTCGAAAGCGGGATTCTCAAACTCTGAAAAATTTGCCACTGACTTATTCCACTATCTGGTTGACCAACTATTCTTCCTCTAACAAAATCTGACAATTCGAGAGAACCTTGAGTTCTAGGCATGTTGTAGCACACGATAATTATTGTGCGGACCATTTTCATTTATATAGTGCTCTATGAACACAAATTAGTTAGCATACATCAGTTAAAGGCAAAAAATTAGTTGTCTATTTACTTGTGACCACTCAGTGCATATCACCAAAACTGAGATTAGAGACCTTGAATGTTATACATTATCAAACCTAACCTGTTCAATTCTAAACACTACTTCCAATAGCAATCTTTCTGGAATTGCCAGAAATGATAGAAAAGACTGGTTTGAAGCAGCTGATGCTATTTCACTTGAAAACAAATTCTAGTTGAAATACACTAGTAATAACCTCAATAATTAGAATATCAACATCTTCTTAGTCTAATGTTATATACCTGGTAGCAAAAGTAATTATGCCTTACATGTAGCTGTTGAAAAAAAATTTAATCTAAGCCTATGGATGTTATCATTCAAACCTGTTCTAGGAGCAATGATTCTGTTTGTATAACACATAGTGCAGTTAAAAGTTGGAACTGAGAATAAACTAAGAATAAAACGTAAAATATTAATGTATATATTTTTAAAGCCATATTAAACAGAAATAAAGAATTAATTTAAAATAAAGAAATATCAGCAAAAATTATCACTTGGTATTGATTGTAATTAAGCATTATAGAAGTACAGAATTATTACATAAACCTGCACATGAGCTATTTGCGATGTCCTCATTATAGGGATCAAACCTCAAATTTCACCATTATAAACTCTCACGCTTACTGTTGAACCACCAGGATGGCATAAGTTAAACATTTATTCTGAAACACACTTACACTTTTAACAGATAATCTTTATTTATTTTAAATTAAATTTTTATATTATTTCTGTTTAATTTTAATTTAAAATTATCAATGTCAACACTTAAAGATCATTGTCCAACCTAAACAATAAGATATATATGATTTCATTGTAATATTTCATCATGATAAATACCCTAAAAGACTGACTATAAAAGGCACACACTCATTCCTTCAAGAACATAACACTAGTGAAGCATTATTCTCATTCAATATAACTAAAGTGTTACAAAGTTCTAGGATATGTCTGTTTCTGCAGATCACACTTATAAAAGGTAGGGAAAAAATGCAATGCACTTACAGTACTAAAGCTAACAGCATTACAGACCATACAAATGGTCACTTGATTATCAGGAACCCACTCTTCTTTCGTAGGCACAATCTGAGGCATGATAAAGTCCTCAAGGCCAGAAGATTTCCTTACAAAATACAAACGGTTTGGTGCAGAGTAATCTAAAAAAGAATAAAATGGAAATAACCAATTAATTTCTGATTAACTTTGTTATCTTAATAGGTTTCTAATTTGGCTTAAGTGGTCAGAAATCAACTAAACTAGTTATTTCTATTTGAGATATCTAAAATATAGTTTGAACAAATATAACTGAAATCAATGAAAATAATAAAATAATAGTTATGAATTCCAAAACACAATACCTAGAACATCTTCAACAACAGGAAAATCCAAAGCTTTAGAGGCATAGTCTTCTATCAATCGATTTACTGTTGTACTTGAAAACATACTGGATGGATCATCATCATTTGACGAAAGGCTGTCAAAAACAGTTTCTAATGCTCTAGAAGCCACTTCTACCTATCATTTAGTAACCAAGAGTAAAGTAAAATACAAACACAGGAGTCCAAAAATACCGTTTTAGAAGTGATTCTTTGAAATTGGAACTAATTTGTGATTCAAAATAACAGACTTGAAAATCATAAGAGAAGATAATGTGGCAATAAACACTAACAAATCATCGGTTATCATAAAACTTTCTCTTGTTTCTTTAAAGAAGTTTGGGTATTAGTTAGCAAAAGTATAAAAAATTAAAATTTATTAGAGAGGTGAGGTTACAATCACTTTTCACAATAATTACATTTGATATTCCCTTTTTATATATGGTATCCCAGTACATTGAAGATGTTCACAGAACTAGCAGCTATAAACTAATTTCTCAGTGTTAGTTGATATAAAACAGATGTAGATAAAGTTTTATTTTTTTCTACCCTGAAAATGAAAACATTAAACCTTGCAAATGGTCACATCAATGTTATTTGGTAACAGTGGTGTTGCCTGATCACTGAACCTTTACAGAAAAGTACAGTGTCTAACAATCAGAAAAACATGAAAAAAAAGAGAAATAAAACACAAATAAAATTATATAAATCTCCTGTTTTAAATAAGACTTAATATTTTTCTTTAATCTAAAAAGGATTAATAACATTAATTAGACATCCTTGAAAACAGCTTAATTAATGAAGTCAATAAATATAAAAACAAGTCATATGGCCTTGTGTAAAATAGTAATAAAACTAGATGACACAATGTTTAAAATTACATGACATAAAAACTACACTCTAAGATTGTGACACTTTTTTTAACCATCTGAACTTGATGAGGAGATTATAATTGAAACTTACTTCCATGTTCATAAGAAGCTGTTCAAAAAGAAGTTGAGGGCATTCCACAAGATTTTCATACAATGCAATGTCTGTTGGTGATACACAGTCGAGCATCTGTAAAAGAGTCACTTGCTGTCATTATTTTAAAATGAGTCATTACCCACCATAATCAATTTTTCACAATAACAAATCTTGGGATGAAATACCTACAATGATCAGTAAATTTCATTTATTTTTCAAAACATTTTTCTTTACAAAGTCTCAAGTTTTAATCTACATGTACTGAAAAAAAAAACTAAACTCCATGTAATAGAAAAGGTTAACCTACAAATTACTGACTTGTTTTTATATAACATATACCACTAGTGAGGTGTTTAAGTTTTAACATATTGAGTTATTTTATGCTTTTGGTTGTTACAGCACGAAATGTAAAGAACTGATAAAAATACTGAATGAAAATACTTAATTGTTTTTATACCATTTGCCACTAATGAGATCCATACATTGTATCATATGTTAACATTTTCCTAAATTGAAAATGTATTTCCAATAATACTTACCTCCACTCACACTTATAGCTATTACTCGACCACCAGGGTTTCTTCCTTTGACCATCTAAGCATTGGTCTGATTTTTTTCTCGCTTGCTCCAGTCTTTCATACCCCAGGCAATTGTCCTTGGCAATATTTGTCTTGTGACACTCTCCACCTATGTCAATGCACCCTCTATCCTGGTAGTGTATATAAGCACCTCATTCAGATAATGTTATCACTTTTTTCAAGACTTAATCAATCCCAGACTCTAACACCGGCTCTTAGCAGGGATGAAGGGTGGGAGAGTGTCAGCAAAGGTAATTATTATTGGAAATACATTGTCAATTTAGGAAAATGTTAACTTCTGAAACATACATACCTCCATTCCCACTTATAGCTAGAATCCCACATTGATAAGATGGAGGGGCTGGTGAGGCCATTATCCATAGAAAAAGCATCTGCATAGATCATGGATGTGTCAATAGAGGATTGGCACCCTAGTGGATGAACTGCACTACATCCAGAACTGAACTCCTGTATCATGGGTGGAAATGTACATGAGTGATCATCACTATAAGCTAGCCCCAACCAGACAGCCGAGGTTCCATTACTCGGGGTTG